ATTTTGCTAATTGCGAAAAACCTGCTGTCCGTAATCTCGGTGACTGTATACTTTGCAACCGCCATCTATGCTCCGACCACCTTCAGCCTGCTGTTCATAAATGTCCCAAATGGGAGGTTAGTCCAGCTTTTCAAGACGTAGATTCACTTACTGATTTTTTTGCGTACTTGGCAGGACGAGAATATATACGACCCTGCAGCTCGAGCTGCCGAAGCAGATGAGCTTGCAGAGTTGATCAAGAAGATCAACACTTCTGCTCTGGCGGCTCGAGCCAGTCACTTGCGGGGGGGGATAGCCTGTTCAATCCCTCCACTTCATTATGACAGAGAAACACGAAGCTCCGTGATGGGTGGTATGAATTATCATATCGAAGTCAATTTTGATGACGGAATCAAATGGATCGCCCGTGTTCGCAGGTTCAATGCTACATCGCCTCCGGCAGTACTGCGAGATTATATTGTTCAGAGCGAGGTCGCAACCCTCAAGTTCCTCGAACGGACTGGTGTACCTGCTCCGAAAGTGTTTGATTTTGCACTGGACCATGCAGATAATTATGTTGGGGTTGGTTATATTCTAATGGAAAAGCTGTTCGGGAAGTCTTTGAGATGGTCTATCGCAACGCAAGAACAAAGAAGAAATGTGATGGTCCAGCTGGCGGACATATTCATCGAACTGAGCAGATACCCCTTTGATCTTCTTGGCTCCCTCGATTGCCCGGGCGACTCCCATGTCGGTGCATTTGCTCGAGAATCACTTACCGACTTTGTGCAATCCGGAATGCGCACAATGGGACCATTCTCATCTTTGGAAGAGTATCACAAGTCCTCGCTTCGACTGGTCTTAGATCTGATTCTTCGCGAAGAGATCTACTCGCAGCAAGCAGTGGATGCCTACCTGATACACCGATTTCTCTTCGACTTGGTCCCGTCTGTTTTGCCACAGACGGTGCAGGATAACCAAATATACTATTTGAAACACGCGGACGACAAGGGAGATCATATCCTGGTGGATGAAGATTTCAATATTACCGGTATTATCGATTGGGAGTGGGCCCACACGGCACCGCCAACTCAAGCTTTCAACTCCCCTATTGGCCTTTTGCAAGTTGATGAATTCTATCGGGGCATGAATCATCTGGGCGACGATGAAATTACCTTTGCACACATGCTAGAGGAAAAGGGTCACCCGAATTTGGCAGGTTTTGTCTGGAGTGGCCGGTTGCAGCACAGGTTTTCTTTTTGTTGCGGATACGATCTCACAGACTGGGATGGATTCCTCGGTCTCTTTCAAGGGCTTCGAGATGCTGTAAAGGTAGATGACGGCTTAGATTGGAATGGTTGGAAATCAGCTGCATTGCGCCGCTACAGGGAGGACACGGGCTTGCAGCTCTTATTGCACAGGCATGGAAACTTAGTTCCCGAGGGTGAGGAGAAAGGGCAGTCATCATCGATACCCTGAGTGGATAGACGGCGGGCCAAAGAACCCTTTTAAGTCCTAAGAATAGATACTCTACAGCACTGCTAACCACGCAAGCTCATATCCTAAAGCAGGCCTTGTATGATAGCAAAGCAGCAACATGATCGCAATCTCCTAGGTATTGGTAATTCATAATGGAGTGCTACCCGAACCCTACCCCTAAGATAACCTTAAGTCGTGCCTGGAAGTTCTGATCAAAAGCGACGCTGGCTCACGCTAGGACACGCGGGCGCTTAGATTGGTCTCCTCTAAATATTGATAACTGCCAGCCTCCTTTGGTTGAAGCAGCAAACATTGAATGTTCTTTCGATCTTCTGTATATTATACCATGGTTCAATCCAGAATCTCCACCGCGAAACAAACCTTCATTGTTAGAAGCAGATACTATACGCTGCTATTGGTAATAGCTCGTTATCAGTCGTCAGCTAGCGTGTATGGGGAGACACCACCACAATGAACATTCTCCTCTTAAACTAACTACCTACATTATCTCAACATAATTAATATTCTAACTATCAAACATGATAAGGCAAAGTCACTTATGAGTCTTATACTAGAATCAGTTCGTTTTTGTCGGTCTAAAGAATTCCTACGCCACCAATGAGCATTGGCAAAACTACCTAATCTGGTATATAACCGCAGTCTCGGGGCAAACCTAGCCCGTAGAGGCGGATAAATGCAACCCACTTCAATTATACCCGTAATAGCCCCCACGAGAGGAGAGGAGACAGCTTCCTCTAATACCCTTTTGAACGATCATGAACCAAAATAAAGAAACTATTGGGACTCCATCCCAAAGCCTGCTCGCTATAGACCCAAGTGGCACTCGTAATCTTGATATCTATCTTATACCATGCCTCTAGTCCGGAACCCCATCCTGCCGGGGTTCAACGCGGATCCGTCGATACTGCGGGTTGGCGATGACTACTACATCGCCACGTCGACATTCGAGTGGTACCCTGGGGTGCAGATCCACCACTCCAAGGATCTGGCCAACTGGGAGCTAGTCACCCGCCCTCTGAGCCGCAAGAGCCAACTAGACATGCGCGGCGACCCGGATAGCTGTGGAGTCTGGGCTCCTTGCCTCACGCATGATGGCGACAAATTCTGGCTGGTGTACACCGACGTGAAGCGTAAGGATGGATCCTTCAAAGACACGCATAATTACATCGTTACCTCTCCTTTCATAGAAGGACCCTGGTCTGACCCTATCTACGTCAACTCCTCGGGCTTTGATCCGTCATTATTCCACGACGACGATGGGAAGAAATACTTCGTGAACATGTTGCAAGACCACCGTCGCCGCCCTCGCTACTTTGCCGGCATTAGATTGCAGGAGTTCGACCCGGCCGCGGGGAAGCTCGTCGGTGAGAAAAAGACGATATTCTACGGGACGGACCTAGATCTTGTTGAAGGCCCCCACCTGTATAAGCGGAATGGATGGTACTACCTGCTGACGGCCGAAGGCGGCACGGCTTATAACCACGCCTGCACCCTCGCTCGCGCTCGCAACCTGTGGGGTCCCTATGATGTGCATCCACAAAAGCACATACTTTCCTCCAAGGATGCGCCTTTTGCCGCGCTGCAGAGGGCAGGTCACGGAGACATTGTGGACACCCCTGACGGTAGAACCTATCTTGTGCATTTGATGGGCCGTCCTATCACGCAGGAGCGCCGCTGCGTGCTGGGTCGCGAGACCTCCATACAAGAAGCGTTCTGGAAGGATGACTGGCTTTATGTGAAGAACGGGCCCGTGCCCTCCCTATTCGTCGACGTCCCGGGGACTCGGGACGACAGCAAGTACTGGGCCGAGCAACGATACACCTTTGAAAAGGGCCTGCACCGAGACCTCCAGTGGCTCCGAACTCCCGAGACCGAGCGTATCTTCGCGCTCGAAGGCGGGAAGCTAGCCCTGTTCGGGCGCGAGTCCATCGGCTCCTGGTTCGAGCAGGCCCTCGTCGCGCGGCGGCAGACGCACTTCTCCTACGACGCGGAGACCGTAGTCGTGTTCTCGCCGACGGACGAGCGGCAGTTCGCGGGGCTCACGGCGTACTACAGCCGGTACAACTTCTTCTACCTCACCGTGACGGCGGACTCAAACGGGCAACGGGAGCTACTCATCATGACCTCGGAGGTTTCCTGGCCGGACGGCAAGCTCAATATGCCGCTCGTGGACCCGGTGCAGATCCCCAACGAGGGCAAGGTGAGGCTGGCGCTGACGATCCGCGGCCGTGAGTTGCAGTTCCTGTACGCGCTGGAGGGCCAGGAGCTGGAGAAGATCGGACCGGTTTATGATGCGTCGATCATCTCCGACGAATGCGGCGGGCACCAAGCACATGGGAGCTTTACCGGGGCGTTCGTGGGGGTGGCGTGCTCGGATATAAACGGGACTGCGCTCCCGGCGCGATTTGATTATCTACTTTATCGGCCTGTTCAGTACGAGACGGATCGATACGAGATCTAAAGGGTAGTTATGTTCTCCCGGGATAGTTAGAAAACACTTGAATGATGTTGATCTTGTATTCTACTTACCATACAAGCATATAACAGTGGCTATTTCATAGAATTGACTTGACATTTAATATCGAACATTCGAATTTCATAGCATGTGTTCATGTAATAACATTACCTGCCGTACACGTACCTCTTTTGATTGTTAAAAGCCAAGATGTTTTAAACCAGAGCGGTTGTATTTAGAATCGTGAAACCGTTCGAAATATTTCCAACCGCCAGGATGAAGATAGCGGATTAAGGAATGTTTCTATCGTGAAAATGAGCGACTAGATAGAGATAATTTTTAAATCACGATATGAAAAAGGGGTGACGGGGGAGGGTGCGTTGGGGATTGAAATAGGAGACGAAATCCAACTTACTACATTCCAGCACAGGTTCTCGGGCCCCTAGAGAATGGGGTATAAGTCTTCTTCCGTATATTCCCCTCCATCCATCTCTCAGGATTAGCCGATCATATCTCCTACCTTTATCTAAAGCAACACCTATCTCATGACTTCTCTCCGCAGCTGACTCAACCCCCTTAGAATCCCCTGTGTCACCATTTTCTACATTGGTGAACAAGACAAGCCATTATTTACTTGCCAAATTCGCTACAAAGTAAAAGAAACGACATTGCACCTTATTATTGTGAGTTGAACAACGGTGTTTGGTATTGTTTCTCTGCATTGCAAAGGCAAGTAAACCGAGCAATAAAACTAGGGAGTGCCACAGCACAAATATGAAAAGTCGAGAAACAGCTTATATATACGTTTTTCGGTTTTATTTTAAAGAAAAAAACTCGAGATAAAACCGAAATAAATTAAAAATACAAGTTTACGGTAAGTTGTGAGCCATTTCTATCATACGAAGTGAATTAAGTAGTCGTTAAGTGCATATGTATGATTGACCTGTTAAACGCGCTTTATACCCCCGGTGATAAGCTAAAATAAAACGGGCAATCTCCAAAACCCGCAAGTCACCCGGTGGTAAGCGCTGGATCAATTTTCCGCTCCGCTTTGGAGGAGGGTTAAGTTCCCGTGACGCAGCGGTTAGCGTGCTACTCTTATAACTGTTAGGCCCGTCCTAACTGAGTATGACGATATGTAGAAGTCGCGAGTTCGATCCTCGCCGGGAACATTTTTTGACAATTTGAATAATTGCTAATTTTTGCCTCATCTTTACAACTTTGAAAAAAGATCTATAAATTTCTCGATTTATTAATTTTTTCCGGCAGCCGCAAGACGTGAGCGGCTACACAGGAGGTCTTGATGTCGAGTCAGTCTTGTTTTTTCATGAGGAAGCCACTTTTGTCTACCTAACTGTTCGCATGAAGCTGAATATAGTAGGTAATGTTGTGGGGTCTAGGTCGACGGTGATGAAGTCTCTTTAAGGGGGGGTGCGTTGCAGGTGTATATGACTTATATCTAGACTTCGCCCACCCTTTAGCTCACTCACCTTGGAATAATAATGCACTTCATCTCATCCTCGTATCCTTGTTCTGTCTCAACAGTGTCCAGATTTCTAGCAGTGTAGGTTGAGAAAACCCCCCCTTTTTGGTCTGAACCGTGAGAGTTGATGTCTTTTAGATAGATTTCTAGATAACGGAGAAGGTCTAATGGAAATACTAGTGTTCTGATCTAACCTGTGAAAATTAAATTTAAAGGCCGTTGTCATTGACTTCGTGAATTCAGTTTATTCGAAGCTTTGAAAATAATTTGCAAACAGTCCGTCCGTCCCCGCATGATAGACATGCCAAGCTTCCATACTCCTGTCCTCTTCTCCCTCCTACCCGCTTCGGTAAATTGCACTTGAGGCTTGAAATATGAGGAAACGATTCTCCGTACACCAATTAGGAGACGGACAACCCAGCTGTGGTAGCACAAAGTGTCCCAGCTACCTACGTAGATACATTTAGTTGATTAGCTAAGACTACTCATTCATGGCCTCTCCATATGGTCTACTCGCACCGCGGTGTACTGACTCCTGTATCATCATCATTCAGTAGTGATTCATGGACACGGTTTGAGATAAACCACTTTGCCTTCTACCGTATTCATCATACTTTCGGCGGAGACTTAAACATCCAGGCCCTTAGCAGTGGATTCGATGAGGATAAGCACAATGGCGTTGGGTGGCGTAAGGGGCGACTGAAACAATAAGCAGTATGTGTAAAGTAAGATAAAGCAACGTTCGTGCATTGATTAACTTCATTTGTATCATTTTCGGCAGATTAGCCTTATTCGAATAATTTGCGATAATTTAGATATTAATGAATCACCTGTCTACACGATACTTCTTCCACCACTACACCCCGAAAATCAGTATCGCTAGGAAGCAGTGTACACGGCCGGTATCAAACTCAGTATTAAAGCAGAAACGTATTTCTTCGCTATAGCTCCACGTAGACCAATTTCATATATATAAATGCGACATAGCAAGCCTTTTTGGCTCTAGTTAAACTACCCAAAGCACCTGTAGATGTTATCCGAAGATCGTTTGCAAGTTCGACTTTTCCACTATAAAGGCCAAAAATTAGACTTTTCTTTACTTCCACATGGAGATTTCTCGCACAAGCTCTGTTGGACTTGCTCGTGACTGATCAAAATCTGACATATGCAAACAGGGAAAGAAAGACGTGGTTGTAGAGACTGAGGCGAAGTGAGAAAAACAAATTACTTACTGACGTCGATCCAGTGCACATGGCTTGCCCCTGTTCTCTCCGAGTCATACGCCTCCCATATTTTCCTTATCAGATTCCTAGCGACGAGAATCGGGGCCGGTGGGAGACAGTGTTCCAGCATTGCGAACCTCCCCAGAATGAAACGGCGTGCGTGTATTACCTCGAAAGAATGCCTCGTGATCGGCGAAGGCGGCTCATCGGATCTAAGTATATCACCCGTTACCGAGGTTGAGGAACTCTGGTCGGATCCTGTCACGTCTTTGTCGGAACGGCCGAATTCTAAGAATGTGTTCCGCTGGCGTTCTTGCATGTAGGTCAGTGTTTTCGGGTCGAACCTGAGACCCGTGCCGGCGGACAGATACAGCAATGGCTGTATGCAGCGAGTCCCTGAGCTGGCTGGGATCCCTTTTAAGATGTCTATAAGGCGGAAGCTTAGTGGTGTGATGCAGTCACTCCAGAGCGTGTAGCTAGAATAATTGGCTTTTTGACGCGGCAATCGTCTTCTTGCCAAATCGGAAAATGTTTGGTACAGTTGCAAAAGCGATGCTAGGCGATACGCCTCTGCGACATCGATCAAGTGCAATATGGGTGACATGGAATCGCCTGTGTCGGAGAAGGTGGACACTTGATGGTGCACGAGCCCAAGCAGCTCTTCTTCGACTTTGCAGGCCGCTTCTATTATATTGAAATGCGATTGTATGTCCGGGTTTGGGTGCGTCTGGCTTTGCTTGGAGTACCAGCGATATTGCCGACACAGCTTCATAGTTCTCATGAAAAGCAGCTGCACCGTAGAAGATATCCCAGTCCAGGGATGCGGGGTGATTTGGCCAGCAGCGAGTTGCGTCATGGGTAGGTTCTTCAACCTAGGAATACCCAACTCGTCTGGCTCGTCCGATACCACAGCAACAAGCATATTCCAGTATGTTATGCTGTTGTTGAAGAAGTACAGTTTTTGGCGATCCCGGGTAGAAAGGCTTCCAGAACGCTCATTCATGCGCCTTAGCAAAATCTTTGCATCCCGTAGGAACCGAGCGCCGATTATCCTCGTGTCGACCCAGCACGAGGCAGTTCCTACACAACACAAAGCGAAAAGAAGATCGGTAGCGGACTCTGAAGAGGGTGACTCATAAGAAGCCGTTATATCCCTTTGGATAGCTGCAACTGCAAGCTTCAGGTAGCGTACGGCACTCTGTCTTAGCTGAGGCATCTGGGTGCTGAGGCAGATGGCCGACATGCTCTGCAGACTGTGCATAACAGCTTCCGAGCGCGCCCAAGCATCGCGTGCAAGTTCGCGATTCATATTAATAGCAGAGTCGAAGCCTGACCACATCGAACAGACACTGCGGAACCACTCCTCCACGAGCAATGTTGAGTGATCGTCAACATGCGGAGAGATGCGAAATCCGTGGGGCTGGCATCTTGGACTATACGAATCTAACGCCTTGCCATCCCGGAGCGTGAGGACACTCCCTTCCGAAACACTCTCTTCTGAGCGAGAGGAAGATGGCGACGGCTGTGGCGACGATACAAGGTGGCTGTCGGTAGCTGTACCGGCCAATGCCTCGTTCAGCAAGAAGTTCATATCCCATACCTTTGAAAGCAGATCGACGCCATCATTGACCGGCAGCGTACGATCGCGTGTGGGCAGAGAAGACGAGCCCTCGCCTTCTACGGGGATGACATCGAAGTTTGAGCGATTGTTCCGTTGCATTACGGACAAATCTGGTTGATAGGTAGTCTTCTCGGCAGTTGTATGGCTTGGTTGGCCCGGCTATGGATTAGAATCGTCTAATCGCATGAGATGAAATGCGCGAATTACGAGTTTGATCCTCTCTGCAAACAACTTGGGATGTATCTTGTGTCACGGCGTGACCACCGATGACAGCATGTTGCCTAAGCTAGGACGAGATATCAATCCTGCAGACTTCAGTTGATATTCTGATATTCCTTCGGAAAGTGGGGAGAGTTGAGTGGGGTTGTCTGGGCCCTTGCAGTTGCAGGATGGCTAATGCCCCCTTATATACATACTCAGCTAAGTACCTAGTTTATAACTGTAACGGAGACTTGCCCTTTCTAGTAATGGAGTTGTTTAATACTTACCTAGGTTGGTACCTAGGTAGTATTTCGATAGGAATCGGGTGGATGTCATTAGAGTTTCTCGAGATGATATTGCTTTATGTAACTAATGTAACTAATCTCCGTGATGTAGTGTCTGACTAGGACCTACCTAATCATTAGTCGATTGCGAATGATGATTTTTCCGCTGCAGCTTTACACTCTCTACTCAAGACCTCCTTGGAGACTCACATTTCCTCATCCGATAGCTGGAGCTTGGTAACAACAATAATGAGATATCACTTATCAATCACCGAGATTTCGAATCTCTTTCCTTCAACTGAGATATCTTAGTCCGTAGGTATAATAAATGAAGTGTGCCGACACAATTAGGCGCGGCGTGGAAACCGTACCAATAAAATGAGAGGCACGTATTCGGACAGTATCGAGGGCGCCGGAACCGCAATTCGTACAATAAGTTTCAATTGCGTGGCCAGGTCGTTCTGGTCATTACGACATAGCTGCATCGGGTATATATGTCGTCTGCTCGCGAGGAGCCAAATTCCTCGGCCTATACCACACCGTCCGGCTCCTGATACCGAACAGCCGCCTTTTCGTCCACCACGTGCCTCGTCGGGCTGTCCACTCCATCCAAAGGCGACGGCGACGCTCGTCTCGGCAGCGGTATGTACTTGTGAGCATACCGCGGGAACGCGAACAAAATGCTCTTCCTCCGCGGAGCGTTCACCATCTGCCGCTCGCCATCATCATCGTCGATTTGAGAACTCGCGATTCCCTCCTCCCCGTCTTCCTCCTCGATACCGACGTATTCCTTGGCCCGGGTAGCGAGCCTGATGATGCACCCCGTAAGCCCGCGATGGCAGTCATGGGTCCGCGCGGCGTCGCAGTCACTCTCGACCTCCCACATGCTGAGTGAGTTTGATATCGAGAGTGAGCTCGCGAACCAGCCGAGCGCCATCAGGCCCAGATCGCCAAGCGCGCTGCCGCTGCCACTGCTGGAGACGACGACATCGTCTCCGCCTCCTCCTCCTCGGTGGAAGTCGATGTCGTCCCGCAGGTGGTAGTAGAAGGCGGGCAGCAGGAACCAGAGGTTGAAGAGCGTGAGGTCGAGCCAGAGCGCGCACGCGAACAGGAACGAGGCCGCGTAGCCTACGCAGCTGCGCCGGACGAAGACCAGCAGCGTCGTCGCGACGTACAGGAACAGTATGGCCCAGCAACCGCCGTAGATGATCTGGTCCGAGATATTCTCCATTTTTTCGTCGCCGCCACCGTCAATATGATGATGATGATGATGATGAGAGGAGAAAGAGGAAGTTATCCTTATATTTTTTATATGTTCCGTTTCCGCCACAAGCGGATATGAGATGGAGAAGAAACAAGA